ACAAAACATCAATACAAATTGATTAGACGGCACAGTGAATCCAGATTAACATTGATCATCCATCCGCTTTACTACCAAACTAATGCCTGGAGCATTGGCTTTCAATTTTGGAGTATGTGTGCCCTTTCTGCTTAGAAAACATGAATGACGTGCTAGACTTTACATCGGAAGCTTGGAAACTTAACATGGTTCCAGTTCATACCCTATAAAATGCAAAATGACCACCACCTAACTACAATTGTTTGATAAGTCCATTGATGTATTGCAGCAGATCAGCTTATAGGCTCTCCACTGAGGTAGCAGCTCATTATGGGTAGCAGGAGAGATTTAAGCCTTCAAGCCATCATGTAAGATTTAAAGCTTTCTTCAAGGAGGTACATTTAGTACCCTTCCAATTTGACTTTATGATGAGTCCTCTGTGTGGGTAACTGTGTTGCCATGAGACAGCTGATAGCCCAAGCCATTCTATCACCTTCCAAGGCTAAGCACAGACTTGAACCTGGACTACTCCATATCATGATCTCTTCCTACTTCTCTCTATTTGTTTTATGTCTTTCTGGCAACACTAGGATATAAAGCTAATGCTTTGATCAGCATGATGGGATAAACCTGGGACCCCAGTATGCCTATATGAAGAAGAGAGAAGGATTTGTTTGGACCTTCAACTAATTTTTGTTTCCTGTCATCTCTGAAATGACTACTGCTGCTAATTTTAGTTTATCTAAGCTAAAATTATGTACCATGGTTGGAAGATATATAGCAACAGTATGAAAACCAATATCAACCAAAATCATAATCTTTTGAACATATAATAAACATATAATAAACTCGAATGTTTATTTGTCCAGCTAGTTCAAGGTTGTTTTTTAAAACAGGTATCTTTTGGCTGGCTTGATATTGTCTCCATGTTCTTCAAAACAACAGCTGCCTCTAGTGTTAAATGTGTATAATTACAATTAAAAAAACTTTACATTTAAGGAAGGCAGAACCGAAAATGAATATACAGTATGATGATTACCAGCAAGGTTCCATCATTGGCTGACTCTACAATGACTCTATATAAGGTAATGGGTTAGATTAATTTAGCTGAAAATAAGCCCCACAAAAATAAATAAAATCCAAGTAGTGTCTTCCAATATATATGTGCAGATAACCAACAAAAGATAAGACACAAATGCTTTATACAGATATTTTTCCTTGGCTTTGATGGGTTTATATGTTTAATTGTGCTCTAAGCTCACTAAATTTTCTTTTGATTTTGCTATTAAGCAAGAATTGTGAATTCACCCTATTATTTAGTGATTAGTATTACACATTAAGGTACACATTACACATATTCTACTGCCTTGTTCAGAATTGTCAACTATTATATAATTGTCCCCTCTTGAATTGCATTAGATGATCAGTGTGAATGGAATGAAAGCAGATACAGTAATACTAATTTAAAGTACTTGTATATACTCACAGAGAAGCCCCTCCTTGGATAAGCCAACACTTGAATTTTTAACCCAAATACTGTGAAAAATGTGCCACCCACAGATAAGTCAACTATGAAGATTAAAATGAATATACATTTTGAGGGTCAGCTTATCACAAGTGGCACATTTTTCACGGTATTTGGTTAAAAAAAATTGAGGGTTGGCTTATTCAAGGATGGGTAATCTGTATATACAGCACTTTATTTTGATAAAGAGGCCTCCAATGATCTACCCTCCTCTTATTGCTGTCGTGCTACATCTTGATTTAGGAACTGGGAATAAGTAGGACCTTTCTGAATATTATATAGTGCTTAGCAAATTTAAGCTAAGGGCTGAGCGTTATGGCTGAAAAAGTAATGGAGCTAGGGTAAAGGAAGAGTAAGATTTTGCTAAAGAAATAAATCCTAGAGAAAGAACCCATGAGAGATTTCACCTGAGAACTGCATGGAGAGGCTGCCCAAAGCATAAAGAGCTGCAAGGGCTTTCAAAACTGGAATAAGAGGCAACTGTGTGCTCCTCAGTGATCAATATTCAGATACAACGTTGGGGTTCTCTGTAAGAAATGAGTACATGGAAGGGAAGTTTAAAACAGAGAAACAGCGCAGTAACTTGAGGCTTTGCTGTGATCTCTGGGAGGAAGATCATACAGTGGTTTTCTACTCAGTTATAATGGAAACTTTAGTTCAATAGGTCTAGAAGATGTCAGACAGAGGGACACTGTATGATGATATTAGACTGTGAGAGGAATCAGAATGTTGGTGCTGCTATACCGTAGTTTCTATTTTTTGCAACTCTTTTGATATGGAGACACTAAAGCAAAATTCAGGCAAGCTATTTATTGATTATTTTTGCATTTTAAATCCCTATTGATATATGCATTTAATGCTTAAATATTTCAAAAGCAGATTTATATATTATGGTTTCTTTTATTATTTTCCATGTAACCAGATAGAAAATCAATCAATAATGCATATATTACAGAGGACCAACCGACAGAAATTGCAGAATCACTTGTATATATAACATATGTCTACAATCACTTGTATATATAACATATGTAAATGACTGCATATGGCCGCAGGGCTTTAAGGTATTAACATAGCATATAGGATATAGCATATAGATAATAATACATAAAACCAGAAACACAGTTCAGGCATTTAATAGTAGATTTACTATTGGAAAAAAGCACCATTTTATTTTTATATAAAAGTACGAAATATAATTATGGCAACTCCCAAGCTACAAATGTAATGCTGAAACCACATTTTGGTCAACAAAGTTAAGTTTTTTAATACTTTCACAAAACACCACAGCTAAAGAAATAAGAAGACAACCTCATGTCTACTAACATAAATTAGTTTACACACACAAAAACAGGCAAAACTGAACTTCCAATTAATGTTCAGTAATTATAGCTTTATGGCTGGGCTCTTGCCCGATTATTCATAAAAATTTGTTGGCCATTTGAGAAGTCTTGCGTTGTTTTTTTCATAAGGTTACATCATTTTTTTAAAACAAGTACATACCACCCGCAATAGTTCTCCAAATATGTTCATAACACTACAACAATATTTGGTAAAAATCTCTGCTTAAAAAAAAGACTACCCATACTGCACAATATTCACCATACATGATTTTTACATCTAATCCATCTAAATTGCTTGTCTCTGTCCCGCCTTTCTTTCACTAAAGAAAGTGATGCAAACCAATATCCTCTCTTTTTACAGGTTACACCTAAAAATGATTTATAGGACAGAAACATCATTCTATATTTACAAATATATCCCTTTGCCAAGCTTAAGCCTGCATGATCTATTTTGCTTCAGAAACAGAAACAAATATTAAGAAAATTAAGCTAAATATTGTGAGGTAAATATTGTTTTCTTAAACAATCTGTTAAACAGATGGGCATGACTGCCAATGACTCAAATGCCCAGGTGCCATTACTACAACTGCTTGCCACCCACTTGTGCTATAAATATAACAGATTCCTTCAAAAATCATGTTTCTTCTACTTTTGCTAGGGCAAGAAGGATTTCATATCTATCATAAATTTACTCTTGCACTATTTTAAATTTTTTAAAGTCATTTTTTTTAAAGCTAAGAAGGAAACTATATTAGAGTTGTTCCCCCCACCACTAAAAAAAACCCTTATATGAACTGGATTGATTCAAATGGCTGGAAGAGAAAGGGACAGTCTTATTTCATTAGCAAACGTGACCTCATAGCATAAGAAAAGGACAGACCTGCTTATAGTAGGAGATAATGATATAATGGATTGCATCACTTCAGATATCTGAAGTAATTTTCTAGAAAAGTTAAAAGCTTCATACAAATGTATGTGAGGGAAACAACAGGCAACAACTGACTAAACTAAATCCGCAACAATTTAATTTTGAATTTACAAGGTTTGTGTCTGCTTTTTTTTAACGTGAAATTTAACTTTATTATTTCATATCTGTAGCCTGAAGCAGTAGCAATAGCACTTAGACCAGCTGTAAAACATTGAAACAGTATATAGGTCTAAGTCAGGGGTTCTCAACCTTGGCAACTTTAAGACTTGTGGACTTCAACTCCCAGAATTCTTCAGCCAGCTTTGCTGAGAAATTCTGGGAGTTGAAGTCCACAAGTCTTAAAGTTGCCAAGGTTGAGAACCCCTGACTTAGACCTATATACTGTTTCAATGTTTTACAGCTCTCTCTAAACTGTTTACAGAGTCAGCATATTGCCTCCCCGCAATCTGGGTCCTCATTTTATCGACCTTGGAAGGATGGAAGACTGAGTCAACCTGGAGCCAGTCAGGATCAAACTGGCAGTCAGCAGAATTAGGCTGCAGTACTGCAATTTAACCACTGCGCCACCACAGCTGTAGTAGGCAGTTACACTACTGTTGAACAAGAGGAATCAGTTAAATGTCCATATTGGTTGCTTATTGTAGTATGGTGCTCTTTGAAATTTCCCCAGATTTTTCATTAGGGCCAGGACAAATGTTACTCTGTAGATAGCAATCCTCAGCCTGCTTTTCTAACTGTACATCTTTTTCACCCAAATTATCATTGGCTCATGTTAAAAGCTTCCCCCGGGTGATTTTCATGGAACACCTATAACTGCTATCAAATGACATTGTCCTCAACATTGGCCACTTAATATTAACAATTCAGAGCATACTAAATGAAGAAGGCTGAAGGTTATAATCACTGATACCGAAGCTGTCATTGTTTTTATCGTAACACCAAGAGAACCTGAAGATTTTGTCATTTCACCACGGCAATGAAATGAAAGAATATTCCAAAAGCTGGTATTATGAGTATAACCGAGAAAACAAGCCTCATTTATTAAAATACTTGGCAATTGGCAGAATATTTAGTGGTCCATCCTTGGCTGCAATGCAAAGGCTGCACTTGGATTCCTATTTTCTAATGCAAATACTGAATAGGAACACAAATACAGACAATTGAATCTCTGGATATTTCATACGTTTTTCAGTTGTAACAATCACATAGTCTCCTTATAGCATTTTTTTTTCAAAGACCTGAACCTTATAATTTCTTGTACAGTACACTTGTGAACTGTAATAAAAGTTCTTTTAATAAAAGAACTGAGCATATATAAGAATCTAAGTTTCTGAGTAGACATGGCAAAAACTATTCACATCAATGTATTATTCTGCTGTATCTCATGAACAGATAACTCACCAGCCTTCATTTTAGTTTTTAAGAGCAAGCAAAGGTGTACTGTGCCTGTTTTAATCTTAGCACACTAAAAAGTGGGGGGAAATGTAACAAAGTCCCCAGTTATTTTTCATGATATTATGCCATCAGTGCCCTATTTGCTGCAATCTTTCTCTCACAAAAATAATAACCTGTACCACACCAGCCAACAAGTTTGTCCACTCTATTATAATTGGTAGAAAGGATTCCTGCTGCAAAATACTTCTAAGATTAGTTATAATATTTCTAATAAGAACTTTAAAATAGCTTCATCTAAGCTGATTTTAAAGTTATCTAACAACATTTAAAACAAAAAACAAACAGGGATCATGCATCTGCGACTACAGTGGAATTTTCCCTTTTCTCTTTCAGAACATTCTCCCAAATCAGGAGGAACGTTATACAAGTAGTTTTGCTATTCTATTTGGATTCAGCCCTCGGGCCATCCTCTGATGGCAGGGAGGGGACACTATCCTGAGAAACAGTATCAATACTTTGTGCTTCTGACTGAAGGTGGACAGATACCTCCACAGCTATTTCTTTGCCGTGGTCATTCACTGAACCATCATCTGAATCTCCTGCTGGTGAATTGCTGCGCTTTATTTCTGGGTTTAAGGGATAGAGTCCCTCTTGGACACCAAGTGCTTGGGTTTGTTTCACTCCATCTCCAACTTCATCAGGATCCTCAACATGCACTGCTTCAAATATTTCTTCCATAAAGGCCTTGCAGTTAAGGATTAGAGGTGGCAGAGGGATACTTCTGGCAAGTTCTTCAATGTACCGAGCAAATTCCATGGTTTTAAACTGGGTGACTTTGGCCAGCTCTAAAGTTTTGGCAGAGGTAATAATAGGAATGCGTTTGGCTATTTCAAAAGCCTTCTGTAGCTTCTCAGCCCCTTCAGTTCTGAAGAACTCATTGATGGCTTTCTCTGTTTTACGAAGATGGCTGCTCATCATGCACAAACGTGTAATATTTAAGATTAGGATGATAGTAAAAGCAACTAGACAGACAATCATGTAATAAATGCCCATGTCTCCAGAGGTGGAGACCACTCTGAGGGTGACTGAATAATAAGAAGTGCCATTGTCATTTGTGACACTGCAGGTATATCGTCCCCGATCACCAAAGATTACACTTGTGATATTGAGGATATTATCAGAGATCACCAATCTTCCACCTAAAGATACAATTAGAAAAAAAATCTTAATATTGTAAGATCAAATTATGCTTTTATATTTTCTCACAAAAGATGGGGCTATTTCAGTTGCGGTCCCATCTCCCAATAAATATATGCCCAGAATTTCTCTTTAATTAATTATAAATTGGTTTAAATACTCTTTTATTCTAATTTGCCTTTAAGTCTGGAAGCTGTTCTGAATTTTAAAAACTGTTGTTCTTCATGCTCTAGAACAAACATAAACCACATGAAATTTAGCAGGAAGAAATATTCCACACCAGATTTCTACAAGTATCTTTTATTTTGGATTAATGTTACCCATTTATTTTCCTTTTCTCCTATGAAAATATCTCATTGTGAATATTTTCACTGCAATTTTAGTTAAATCCTCTAGAGAATAACAGCAAGTGGATACTTGGATAAAATATTTTAATGCCTGCATGAAATGGGGCTTTCTCATCCAGAGTCTAAATTAATAGTCAAAACAATGATCTTTAAATCTTTGCAGCAACTTTGGTTTAAGATTCCAATTTTCTTGAAAACTCTATGCAATGTAAACTTAATTCCTACAGATGGGATTCAAATAACTAGATTCAGGATCTGATTGGGGTTTCTTTAACTTGTTCTTTCTTAAGAGAAAGAATTCTGTTGCTTCAAATCCAATCTTCCTTGCAGCTCTTGTAAATTCTTGTAAACTCTTTAAAGGAGACTGCTTCAGAAAATGCTGTTGTTCAGTCAGGCATTCAAAGATTTTCCTGCAGTTTCTTTTCACTCCAAGTTCCAAATGATTATAGTGTTGAAGCAACTTGATTGAACAACCTATTTATTGCAAGATCATTAAATTATATCTCTATATACACATCAATATATACATCTATATATAAATTCTTAACTGTCCAATGTTGTAATTTAAGAGAGATTTGTAGTACATTGTAATACAGGTACTTTTAAGCATTGTGATCTCACATCTCTTATATTTTTTCTTTCGTGCTTATTAATGGAACGTGACAAAGAAGAAAACCTTTATGCGCATTACATATTGAGTCAAGCTTATTGTAAGTTTAGACAAATATATGTCTTACCTCTTCCACCTTGCTCCAGAAGATGCCCCTTTGAGTTGTACCAGAATATGGTGTCCTGCTGGCTAATGTTTAAATTACATTCAATGATAACACAGGTACCTTCTTTTGCTATGATATCCTGAGGAACTGGAGATTTTGTCAAGACTTGAAAGATAGGGAGAAGTGATATGTTGAGAGGCAGGGACCTTGATCCCATGGTAAATGTCCGGTTGGAAGTAACATTTTCTTCAGCAAAAACACTGAGGTTAAGAACCAGAATCAACAGGCAGCAGCTGAACTTCATGGAAGCTTAAAATTAAGAGCTTCTTTTGTTGAATTTAATTACTGAAGAAAGTTAACACTGAAACAACGTGCATTATCTTGATCACCAGAGAAGATATTGAGTGATGCATCAACCATTGTCTTTGAAGATGCCTAAAGAGGAAGTACATGAGAAATCCAACTAAAATTCTAAAAAACATGAATGTGAGTTATTAAAAATACAAAACTGCATGGCAGCAGTTCCCAATCTTTTCTAAACCCCGCACTCCTAGAACGCTTCTGATATATTCTTGCACCCCTTACAAAAGTTTGAAATAACAGCAACAAATTATGCATATACACTATAATTTTGAAACTTCTAAACCCAATTTTTCGTACCCCTTGGAATATTGTCTCGCAAACCCAGGGGGTGCAAGCACCCTCGGTTGGGAACCCCTGCTGTATGGGTTTGTAAAACTTATGAAAAGGATATTACAGTTAGAATCGCCATAACTGAGATCTAGTCTACATAATAATAATAAGAAAAGAAATGAAAGAAGTAACTGATTTATGGTGGCAATATGACCTATTTTCCTTCTTATATTATAGGATTGGATCCAGAGTTTCTACCATCAAAAGAGCCCTAGTGGCGCAGTGGTTAGAATGCAGTACTACCGGCTACTTCTGCTGACTCCTGGCTGCCAGCAGTTTGGCAGTTCGAGTCTCACCGGCTCAAGGTGGACTCAGCCTTCCATCCTTCCAAATGAGGATCCAGATTGTTGAGGGCAATATACTGACTCTATAAACCAGTGGTTCTCAACCTTTTTAATGCCGCGACCCCCCAACCGGTCGTAAGTCGAGGACTAAACCGGTCGTAAGTCGAGGACTAAATCGGTCGTAAGTCGAGGATTACCCAACCGGTCGTAAGTCAAGGACTAAACCGGTCGTAAGTCAAGGACTAAACCGGTCGTACGTCGAGGACTAAACCGGTCGTAAGTCGAGGACTACCCAAACGGTCGTAAGTCGAGGACTTTCCCTGCCCAGGAGCGCCACGCATGCGCGGTTCCGCCCCCTGCGCCGGCCGAGGCGTAGCTGGCAAGCAGCAGAGATGGAGCAGGCCGACCACCAGTTGGCCCAGCTCAAGGGAGGTAAGGCACCCGTCGGAAAAGGGGAAAAAAATGGTGGACAGCCTTGCTTGGCGACCCCCGTGAAATGGTCGATCGACCCCAAATGGGGTCGCGACTCATAGGTTGAGAACCGCTGCTATAAACCGAGGGCTGTAAAGCACTGTGAAGCAGTATATAAGTCTAAGTGCTATTGCTATCAATGGAACAATATCTTCTGTCTGTGGAAGTTGCCATCAAAAAAGCAAATTCCACTAACAAAAGTCTTCCCCCATTTCCCTACCTGAGCTTTCTTAGCAGTTTACAGTACTTGCCATGGCTTCTTCCCTGATCAACTCCATAGAACTGATTAGTTCACATTACATTTTAATACCTCTCCTCAACGTTTTGGAAAAAAATAATATAGTTCAAAAATATAATACAAATATACCTTCTATTTGTATTTTATTATTTGCTAAATGGAAATGAAAGATAACAGATCTCAGGGTGGATAATAATCAATGATTTTTTTAAAAAAAAATAAAAAATCAGATTTTTAAAATTTAAATTGGATTTTTTTTATTTTTATCAAATTTATTTTAATAAAATGCTTTTGGAGTAAAAATCTATCTAAATATAGTTTTCTATTTAAGATACATTAATAGTTTATTCAGCATGAAATGGAGCTTAGTTATGTAGCACGAGACTGTACATTCTGCAATATTTACATTTTTGGTAAACTCATTCAATGAATCCAAGCTCTGAAAGCTGAGATAACATGCATTGCTTGATGCATTCACACAATTTCACAGTAACCATGAGATAAATCATAAAAGAAAGTTCAGGAATATTCCTTTATCCCATTGTCTTGCAAATCTATGTACACTGCAAACTGTATGATTGTTTGAAGAGAAATGCATCTGTGCCAGGCTCTAAATGTTTTAATTAAATAAAAGAATTTGAGTAGTTCTCCAACTATGTGTGATTAACCTATTAACCTAAAATCGGTTCTGATATTGCTGTTTTACTAACCTGACAGCTTATTATTCTAAATAGAAAACCTTCATTTTGTTTGCAAATAATAATATTAAAGATTCTAACTACCAGCAAGAATGAGTCCTTACGTTTAAAGAGCACCTGTCATTGTAGATCCATCATGGCAGTGCCTGCCAGCGGGCATCCACTCACCTGCTGCCCGCCATATCCCTCACCTTGTTATGTCACTGCTGCATCACCAGCCATCCCATTAAAGTGAATGGGACTGTTGGTGAGTCAACAACGGGTCAGAGGAGAAGCCACTGCAGGACAGAGATGACAAGTACTCTTTAAAAATTATGATTTAAATCAAGTTGATTTAAATCAAGCCTTTTTACTAGTGATTTAAATCATGATTTAAATCAACTTAATTTAAATCAAATCCACCCTGACAGATCTAGTAACCGATCTCAGTCTAAAATAATTCTAATACTAAAAAAATCAAAGTTTTATATGATTTGAAGAGAAACCAGACCAAACAATGTAAGAGGAATGCAGTTCTGATATCTTATTGGAAGCTTGGACTTAAAGAGTAAGCAGTAATAACATACATATTTGCATACATAGGTATATAGGTATGTATATATGTGTACACATACCCCTATATATATGTATACATATGATATATATGTGTGTGTGTGTGTATACACACATACACATTTATTTGTACACATACATAAATTTGATCAACAAGGATTCCCATAAATACAACACATTATGCAGAATGGCAAACATAATCACTTATAATCTGATTTCTAAGGAGGCTTAACTGTCTACAAATATTGCAAATTGGCAGATATATAAAAAGTTCAGAAATCCCATGTTTATTTCATTTTTTTTTCTATTTTTTAGTTTTTAATTTCTTGTTAAATTTGCTGAATGTTATTTCCTTTCATTAACAAATAAAATATAGAGTATATGTATACTAACAAACAATTGAGACTTTAATATTAAGTAATCAGCTTAAGATTGAAACCTTTATCATACAATGAATACTTTGATGTAAGTTGCAGCAGTTCTTTTATCAAGACTATACTCGACATTGGGTTAAAAAGTCAAATATTACACTTATTCTAATTGATATTTTAAATTGTAATTAATATTGATGGAATAGAATACTGTTTTCTCTTCTCTTTTCAATACTTTAAACTATCTAAATGATAGAATGTTAATGAGTTTTAATTACATGATATAAAGATCACTGTATTGAAACCAGACCAAACAAAATAACTCTCAATAGAGCTCGGCAAAGCCTTTGAAAGAGCTGCTTTGCAAAGTGAGTTAGCATGATCAAGTATACCCAATTCTTGGGTTTTGATGACTGGGGCAATATCAGAAAATGATTATACAAATTTGCAGGTGTATCAACAGACAAATATGTGTTTTTCAGTGAAGCAATTGATACAGCTGGAAATGCATATATCAATATTTACAGGTAGCAGAAAAAACTTTAGCAAAGAAAAAAAATTGAAAAAGAAAATGAATTAACCCCCAAATTAGTAGATACAATTACACACTTAGTGCATTTTCTGGCAAAATACTTCACTGCTTCAAAAAGGAAGATTAAAATGTATTTAGGCAATAATCTCTTTACAGTAACTGCTTTAGATAAAGAGGGATACCACATTAACTCCCACAAAATGTTTAGTGAAACACATCAGTGACTTGCTTCAATGTTGAATCACAAATTGACCTATTCTGATGGCAGTTTCTAAAAATCATGAAGAAGGTAATGCAACTATTGGGGTCAAAGTTCTCAATTACTAGGATAAAAAAAAAAAATTGAACTTGTGGTATCTATCCTCAAGCCTATTTCTATGCAGAATAACAAATATTTTATTTTGATGCTACCATCTCTAGTGACATTTCCTTGACAATATTCTCAGCATCATGGTCAGTCCTTTTCTCAGATGATGCTTGAGTTACTAATTTTAAGAAGTGTTGAGCATTTCATAAACTTCTTCCTCAGAGTTTTATTTTATTTATTATTTTCATAAAACCTCATAGAATCTATCAAAGGTGATAATTAGTCTCTGATTTCTAACTGAGAAAATAATCAGCTTTCAAAAGCTCGAGGTAATCATATGCACCAATTGCATATGCTCCCTTAGTATGGGAGCAAGTTTGCATAATACACAATAGTTTTGAATGCTACTGAATTTTTCCATTATTCCACAGACTTTTTTGCTATCTAATCTTTCCTAATCTCCTGACCACTGCTATTTTCCATACCTGCTTACAAACTGTATCCCTTACTATTAAATCATTTTGTAAGGTATTAATCATTAAACTATTACATGTTACTTAACAACTAATATAAAAGACAACAATTAATTGAAAAACATTCTTTTCACTTAATCTTTGGATTAAATGAAAAATAGCTTTGAAGGCAACAAATATATACTCGAAGCAACCAGGAGCTGAGCTTGACATTTTATATCCAGTCCCCAAAGGTTTCTTAAGAATTATTAGCTATAATTACCAAGATTCTGTGCTTCACAACATCAGCCTTCACAATAACTAATGCAATTATTTAGGCAATGCAACATAATCAAACATTCAGCAAAGATATCACAGGGTACATATATTTCACTTTACTGCAATGATCCAGAGGTAGGCACAGACAATATTTAGGGGAAATGAGGTGTGTGTGTGTATGTGTGTGTGTGAGAAAGAGATAGACAGACAGACAGACAAGAGATCAGGATGCTGCTGCTTCTGAAATTTGATGTTAATTTTTGGGAATGTTTGTTGTCTGATTGTAGACTGATGCTCTTATGGACCTTTCTTTGACTATCCTTCTTATTTATTTGGGGTGACTTCGAATCACCTGGAGACTGCTTGTGCATGTCCCTGCAGTTTTTGGGAAGTGGTTTGCCCTTGCCTTCTTCCTAAGGCTGGGAGAAAGAATGACTGGTCCGAGGTCACTCAACTGGCTTCATACTTAAGGTGGGACTAAAACTGCTGGTCCTCCAGGCTCTAACCTGGTACCTTAATCACTGACTCCATCCTTCTAAGTACTACTATGATTATTGTAAGTACTACTATGATTATTGTTTACTCCATCGAGAGGCAAGGTGTGAGAGCTCAAATTAAAACTGCCTGGAAAATCTGTGGGCCCAGCTCATCCCGACAGCCCAGACTGAGGAAGCCAGTACTGGCGCAGCTCTTTCTCCGACCCTGTTGATTTAGGGCAGAGGTGGGGAACGAAGGACCCTTTATGACTTGTGGACTTCAAGTCCCAGAATTCCTGAGCCACCATGGCGGGCTCAGGAATTCTGGGAGTTGAAGTCCACAAATCATAACAGGGCCATCGTTCCCCACTCCTGAGTTAGGGCACCCTACTGTATCTGAATTGCTTCTCCGATACACGAGCGGAGCAGTAACAGCCTGGCCTATCCCTCCGCGGCGCAATACTCCTGCGGGCAGTTTTTCCACCAACGTCCCCACTGCGCCAACAACATCATCCCTCCCCCTCACATCGCGCTTGATCGCTCCTGTTTAGCGAGGAACGTCGGCTGCGGTTTCTCTTCCCGGCCTCTATGCCCATCCTCGCCCTCTCAAAGGCCCACCGCGAAGACAACCAGCCCTACCTGTTCAACTACCAGCTGGTCGGTAACTTTTCCTGCAAATTCGTCATATCCGGTAACGAAAAGGACGAGGTCACCTGACTTCCGGCTCAGTGACGCTCTTTCCTCCTCTCCATGGTTGAGGTACAGTAATCTGGCGTGCTGGAGCCATAGAGACGTGGCTGTTTCTGGTGAGATATTTCAGTGGAGAGAAGGAAAAAGGCGTGCTGGCTGCAGGGCCCGGAGAGGACAATCCCTGCGCTTCGAGTTTCTGTCTCTATACAAGGTGTATTTTTGTTACTTGGAAGTGCCTTTTTATGTCTTTGCTGTTTTGCTCTGGTTAGGAACATTTATTCCCATAAGTTTCCATTAGTGATGATGCCAGTTGAAATCCATGCCAGTTGAGTGGAATAAATAAATAAAGAGGGTCCATCTGCGTGGGTATATCCCGAGTCTCCCTCCTTGACTGCTTGCCAGTTGTAGACTGGACTACAACTCCCAGGAAGGCAGTGGGGCTTCTGGCCAGGGAGAATGGTAATTGCAATCTTCAGGGTTTGAAGGCTGCTGTGTTGAAGAAAGTTGTTTTGCTGGAGTGTATATGCTTGAGGAAGAGAATAGTGTAAGACTTCTGTATTTATTTGCCCTGTTCACAGATTCTTAGAGGATCCTATTGTTTTAGAAGATCTTGATCTTTTAGATCAGACAGAAGTAGCTGTGTTTGGGCTGGTAATTACAGTTTGACTGGAGTCCATCCTCTAAATTCAGGTAGGTGTCTGTTCTTTCTCATACCAAAGGTTGCATCTTGGAACGATATGGCTTTTACAGCAAACACTTGTCTTTACTGACTCCTATTTACTTTTTTGCTTACTCTTAACTATTTCCTCCTCCTCCTCCTCCTTTATTGCCACATTTAATAAAGTTAACTTTAGCCCCTCCTCCACATAGTTTTTTCTTGTTTTTCTGCCTTTCTTTTATAAAGTTGTGTGACTAAAGTCTTTCAACCTTATGCAACACTGATGTAATACTCTAAATATCAACAGTTGGCTGAAAGGTCATTTGGATAAGTGGAATACTCTATGAGCAAGTGTGCATAATAACAGCACAGGCCTGGAAAATAAGATAGGCATCATATGCTGTGCTGGGAAGATTGTCTGAAGGAAACACAAAGAAAAGTGAGGGATGGTTGGTGCGAGGGCACCAGCTAAATGCTTTTTCTTTATAAAAAGCAAATTTCTAGCATGGTTTCATATGTTAAGTGCAAGGCACTAAACAGGTAATTCTCGTATCAAATGAGCAAAGGCAATTATTTCTTTGAAATTATGATTCATCTCTCATTCACACTTAGATATGTCTGCCTATCCTGCACTGAGGGGAGTGGGCAATAGCAGGAAAGAATATAGGAATCTGATATATAAATTATTTTCAAAAACCAGTCCATTTACTATCTCTCAAAATAGACCAAGGTTTTACACATTTTTTGATACATTGGAAGCACATTATTTTTCTAGTTAAACCAGAATAATATTTCATGCTTTTATTTTTGTATTTCTTGATAATGTATCTCAGGGGTGTCAAACTGCTGGCCTGTGGGCCGGTTTCATCATACTGAAGTCGCGTCCACTCCATTGCCGGCAATGCAAAAAGAGTCGTGATACATTGCGACACGTCACGTGACGAGGCAAGTTTGACACCCATGATGTATCCTATCCTTGGCCTTTGATTTCAGTTGATCAAATGCTGATGCTTCTGACACTTTCATATTATTTTAAATATGTTGGAAAGCAAACGAGGGAAAAGGATAGATCTCTTAATGAAAGGATTTTCAAATTCTATGTGAAGTAGAAGAGGAGAACATGCTTTGTTCCATGCAAATAATTGATTTTATTATTTGTTCTAAATAAATGTATTTAATTAAACAAATTAATAGCAGAACGTTGTAATTGAACTAAATAAGCAAAAAGAAGTGGAAAACAGTAAGATACCTTGGTCCTGAATCCTATAAGGCAAAGATATAATTATATAATTAAACAAATAAAAATAAACTGTGTAACCAATATAGGGCGTTGAAAGAAATATGAAGCCATTGTTTCAGCAATATAATAGTGTGCTTTTAGAATCCCAATTGTGGTTTAATAGCTTACTTGCCATTATGGGCTGAAACCTCTGGGCATTTAAAACATTCAGCCTCATGTGGAATGACTTGCCATGATCCAATTATAAATGGTCAGAAACATTTGGAACTGCTACTGTAGGCTAAATTGGATAAAGATAGTTCTATCCATAGGTGCACACATGTATGTGGGATCAAAATTAAGAAGAATAATTGTATTTAATGTGATTTAGCTGTTCACAATACAGGTAGTCCTCTACAGTTTATTTAATGACAGTTCAAAGTTACAATGGTATTAAAAATGTGACTTATGACCATTTTTCATAGTTATGACCTTTGTAGCATCCCCATGATCATGTGATCAAAATTCAGATGTTTAACAACTGGTTCATATTTATGACCGTTGCTGTGCCCCAAAGTCATGTGATCATCTTTTGCAACCTTCTGACAAGCAAAGTCAATGGGAAAGCCAGTTTCACTTAACTGGGTTACTAATTTATCAACTGCAGTGATTCAGTTACCTGTGGCAAGAAAAGTCATAAAATGGGACAAAACTCACTTAACAAATATCTCATTTAATATTAACATAAGACTTAACATAAATTTTGGGCTCAGTTGTTGTCATAAGCCATAAGTCGAGGACTACATGTACTCTTCAATTTTAGGAGTGTGTAGAGTTTAAGAATTGCTGTCATATGGGAAGCTCTATGTTTCCTTTGAGGTTATTTGTGTTGTTATTAAAAACACATCTGTAAAATACATAATTAATGTGTTTTGTTATTTAATTGCTTTGCAATCAGTTTCAAAGCCATTCTAATTATGAATTTATATGTATACCAAACAAAGGACATATTATTATTCTCCTCTGCCTGTTGCCTTAAAGGAGAGGAAAGTAGTTAGCTATTTAAGAATGGAATGATGAATCTAGAGAATCTCAGTAAAATGGTTACATTTTCTTAATGGAATTGAAATAACCAATAATTATTCTAATATGCCTATTATTTTTGACTCAAAGAACAATTTAGAATAATACTTATCTAACAATTGTGGTCAGAACTATATATCTATTGCTTGACTTGTATCCCTATGCAAATCATTGAATTAGAGATGCTTATCTCTGGGTAAACATGCATAGGATTGTGTTATGTATGCGCTTTACTATTTATAATTACCTTCAAAGTCATCTAATATTTAGATTGTGTGGATAGTCTAGCAACTAATAAACTAGTTACTATCAGCCTCATTTTCCAGGTGAATTGTGCTATAGGTTTTCTGAAAACTTTTTTTGCCATCTCTAAACTCTGATCTGGTTTTACCTATTTAGTAGTATGTAAGCTGTTTTACTACGCTGGTGTGCTTTATTCAAATAATCAAAGGGATTCAATTAAGTTGAAAATATATGTCACATTAAAGCTAAAATAAGCTAAAATAAATAAATATAACAATTATTTATTAAACAAGGATATGCTTTGGTCATGTCCCAAATGGAAAATGAATCACTGAGAGAAGATGTGGGTGAACTTGATGAAAATGTGCAGAAGTCAATGGATGAAGAGGTGACCAAGAATAATGGAGAGGAAGCTGAACCGACCCTCACGACCCAGAAAAGAACAGGAGCCAAAGTCACTGAGCTCAGTGCAGCCCAAGAGCCACAGGTGCAAAATATACTGATATTTATGCTAAAATCTGTCAATAATTTTCAGCTTTATCTGAAAGTATTCACTCTGTCTTCCAAAATAAAACATTTGCGGGGTGGGGAGGGGGGACGTGGTGGCTACAAAAGTCAGTTATTCTAATTCTGCAGTTTAAACTGAATCTATCAATTTCAACCTGCTGTTGGATTGTATCTCCTTCTGAGTTCTTAAGAAAGATAAACATATCGTGTGCAATCAAATTAAATACATGTTATTTGACGATCATAAGTCAAAATAATAACATAAATGAAATGTATCGTTATTTTTTCTGCCATTAATTTGAACACAATTTGTATCCATTCCATTATTAGTTACTACAAGTCTGCTTGCGAAGGTGACTATAACTGTTGAAACGTAGAAATAAACATGCAGTGTATTTTCCTATTCTTGACTAAATTCATTCACATGACATGAAGAGTTGCATTAAAACAATATAATTAACAAATCAAAATGTTTTTTTCTCATAATATTGATAAATTTGAGGATTGTGTATAACTATATCTTTAATATTTTTAAATAACGCTTCTTATTCTATTACTAAGAATCCCCTTTAATCTGGAATAATTAGACATTCAAATAAAAAATAAACATTATTTTTATTTGATGTCTTATCAGATCTTTCTCCATTAAGAATCTAAGTTTGCTAACAGAAAGAAAGTCTTCCTGCAATGCTGTAAAATAGAGATATAAAAACATATTCTTTATTTTGTTCCTGAATTTCCTTTGCTAGAAATTAGTTTTAATTTTAAGAGCCGTGATGGCGCAGTGGTTAGGATGCAGTATTGCAGGCTAACTGAGCCCATTGCCAGGAGTTCGATCCTAACTGGCTCAAGATTGACTCAGCCTTCCATCCTTCCGATGTCGGTAAAATGAAGATCCAGATTGTTGGGGGCAATATGCTGACTCTGTAAACCGCTTAGAGAGGGCTGTAAAGCACTGTGAAGCAGTATATAAGTCTAAGTGCTATTGTTACTGCTATTAATTCTTTTTAAAAGGAATAGATAAATAACTGTTTACCTTGTTCTCTTTCACTCAGGTCTCAGGTCCCATTGAGAAGACTCAAACAGGATGGGGATCTTGGGGGAGCTGGGGGAAATCGTTGCTTTCAAGTGCTTCAGCTACAATGGCCAATGTTGGTAAGGATACGTTACAAATCAAATGAACTTTTTTTTTTTAGTTTTTTTCTTTTAGAAGTTAATGGGGCAACCACAAAATACCTTATGAAAAGTAAAGAAGAATATAGA